TCACTCGGTTTTTGCTTTAACATACATGGAAAGATCAGTTTTCTACGTGTAGTTTAGTCTGTGTCTCCCTGTCCATGTCTTTGCTTTTCTCTCTGGCTTCATGCTGTGATCGCCTCACTCTGAACGGGAGATTTCTCTCACTTTACCTACTTTCTGATCTTTCATCTAAACCACCCTGCGTGCATGAACATAATCCCACATGAAGATGGAAATGATGAAGAATTAAAATATATTCTAGCCATCCAGGGGAAAAGGACATATACTGGAGAAATGGATCCATTTTAAAGTAAATGTATAAGTGAGTGAAAACTGAACATTTGTCAGAGCTTTATTATTGGATAGGTTAGAGTTTTGGCTTTGTTTTGTTACTTTTGCATGCTTGTGGTTTAATGAATTGTATTACTTTTAACTTGATGAGATACAAACCACAATGTTGAATTAATGCTGGCACGTGTCCCGGTTGGATGATACTATTACTATCATGTGACCATCTATTAGAATTCCCTCTCAAATTAATATTATCTTATGACCAAATGTGAAAAGTGGACCCTTGGCTGTATGCTCCTTCAGCTTCTAAAGAATTAAAATGATTTTCCTGCTTACGGTCTGATTTGGGGAAGGCAAAATCAACTGTGCATTTTGCTTTAACACATGTAATGTTGTTTTGCCAAATCAGACATCTTTCCTCATGGGATGAGATTATAATGGCATTGCAAAGTAGTTCTCTTGAAACCTTCTAAAACAGATTATGTTCTTAAAAAACTTGATTCTTGACTTTGCATGTTTTAGCACTGCATTCCATTAAACCTGTGTTTGAAGTTACTAGGATTTGCTAAAATATTTGATAATGCCTAAGCAGATAAGAGATTATATGCTTTATGTATATAGTGGAAGGATTTGTTCCAGCTTGGATACAGGGTATTAATTGGCCACCTACAGTGAGCAGTGTTTAATATTTTGCTCCTACCCACCCCCGCTCCGGCCTCACTCCTTTCTTGCTGCTTTTCAGGCAGAAGAGCATATAAGTATTCTCTGAACTAAATTTGCTAACTTTCTGGAACACATTTAAACAATGTGTGCTACTTGTGTCATATTACATTAACTTCACTTATAATGACAAGTTGTATATATCTGTAATAAATAGCCCCTCAGGGATCAGATCAAGATTAAGGGAGAGAAAGTGCCCTGCTGTAGTTAAGTAATTTATAATATCTCAGTAAATGCTTACAAAGAGATGTTTGCATCCGTGGAGCTGATTAACAGCCCTTGTAGACACTGATCATTGTGGGATGTTAAACTCTCCAGTGGACAGTTACAGTCACTTTTGGGTTCCATTTTTTAAAAGTAACCTTGAAGCTCTATACCGTTTGATACTATGTTGTTGTCTGCCATATCACAGAATATTCACAACCGAGAACCACTAGTTTTAAACAGACCAACACTGGTGCGGAACAATGGTGGCGGTTGTGGAGGGGGGATGCTGGCGGGAATAAGCTCGTCGGTGCACATGAGGTTGAGAAGAAAACCTTAGTTAAATTAAAAAAAAAAAAAAACTATCCCTGATGTGCTCATTTCAAGTCGAAGTATTTTTAATTAATCAGAATAACACACAAACGAAAGTTACAAATACCTATGGGTAGAGCACAGTCAAACTATGCAACTGAGTCTGAGTAACCACGGCCTGTGCGGCATACCAGACAATGCCAACAAGTCTGCTGTGAGTGAGGCAGTCCTTAAGCGTCCAGCCTGCTCAGGTTTACCCGCAGACTTAGAAGTGTGGTATTATAGGATTTGCAATTCAGTCCTTTCCCCCTTTCAAATGTGTGCAGTTCTGTTCCAGGGTCGAACTTAAACATCGAGTCGCCTCTGGATGATTAGTATTTGAACCACATTCAGCACATTTTGCTTTTGGGTTTGGACAGGTTTCATCCATTTCTATGGCAAGTGGTTGGAGGTGATGTCCTGTGAAACCAGAATGCTTAATTGTGTCTTGGCTCTCAGGAAAGTTCTGAGAGAAGTGATTTCTATCAATCTACTGTGGAATTCAGTCCATTTATGGAAGGAGTTGAACGGGGAAAGCAAGTGAAGAATCTCAGCAGCTCCTTGGCCTTTGCTGAGGTCTCTCTTCATTGTGAACTCATGCCTGCTCCTTAGTGTGAAGCGAATTGAACATTAAAAGCTCTCCTACACAAAAACTCAAAAATTGATTACAATGCCTTTAAAATCCTCCCAAAAATGATTGTGGCAGGAGTGTGTATAATCACCACCTCAGCTGTGATGGAAGGGATCAGTCTTATTATTTAGTGTCATTGCACACATAGATGGGGCTTTCTTGGTTTCTTATAATGCCACAGGTGCTCAGTGGCAGTGCTCTGCCAAGGTGTCCTGTGTTTTTATGCTCCTGACCTTTCCATCTTGCTCTCACCATGCCTCTAATAGGCTGCCAAGAAACAGGAAGAGGGTTCTGGAAACCCATCGACATCTCCAGTGTTCTCTCTCAGGCTCAAGGGAAATTTAGAGAAACAGCAACACCAAACCTTAGCTTCAAGGAACTAAACCTAGCCTGACATTTACCATGTGTGTAAGAGGCTGCAGCAATAGTCTTCATGGATTTAAGTTTTGGGAAATCGAAGCCAGGAAAATCAGTAGTCTTTCCCTCTGATATTCACTCTCTCCTAACCAACTCTGATGCAATGACTCACAGCCCACAGTTTGCTAGAAGGAGTTGAAGGAGGATGGAGAACATGGATGGAGTGCAGAGAGGATAAAAGAGTCCATGCTCTTATAAAGACTATTTCCAGGGCGCCTGGGTGGCTCAGTCGGTTGGGCATTCGACTTCGGCTCAGATCACGATTTCACATTTCATGAGTTTGAGCCCCACGTCGGACTCTGTGCTGACAGCCAGCTCAGAGCCTGGAGACTGCTTCGGATTCTGTGTCTCCCTCTCTCTCTGACCCTCCCCTGCTCACACTGTCTCTCTCTCTCTTTCCCAGAAATAAATAAAGCATTAAAAAAAAAAAAGACTATTTCCTCATGTTATTCTTTGGATTGTCATAATTTTGTTCGGCCCCTTAGACTGAATAATTGACAGCTCTTTGGACAAATGAGAGCTTTCCTTCCTTCCTGGAGTCTAGCTTCTAACAAATCTGAGATTATTCCCACTGAGGTTTTTGTTGGTTCAACTGATTTTAAAATCTTTACTGAAGCTCAGGGCATATCTTATACTTGAAAGGGAACTATCGCTTCTAACAGGTGTACCACTGGTTTACTTCTTTTTAAGAGTTTACTTCCGATTGTCCTATTTCTTTGTAGTATTTTTATAAATACAAAAAAAGATTATTCTTATTTTCCATTATCTATGAACTTCTTTTTTAAAAAACAATTAAATAAAGCTTATGCAAAGTAGTGAAGTCCAGTCTGGTTTTTTGACATCTATTTAGAGAAGATTTGGGGGATCTTTAATAACTTTAGGACATACCATAACATTGTACCTCCACTTGGAAAAGACATGAAAGTATACTTATCTTTATATATAACTCTAATTCTCAAAATAAATTTATACCAAGTGAAATTCCATTTGTATAAAATTAACTGCAAAATGATAAAATGTGCCAATCTCAAGATTCTGGGGATGGGGTGCCTGGGTGGCTCAGTCAGTTAAGTGTCTCACTTCAGCTCAGATTGTGATCTCGTGGTTCATGAGTTCGACCCCCACATCAGGCTCTGTGCTGACAGCTTAGAGCCTGGAGCCTGCTTCAGATTCTGTGTCTACCTCTCTCTTTGCCCCTCCCTGCCTCTCTCTCTCTCTCTCTCTCAAAAATAAACATTTAAAAAAATTTTTTTAAAGATTGGCCTAAAGAATATAAATACCATTTTATTACTTTTTTTCTTATTTTTCTGATTAAGCTCCACTGTAATCACTCCCATTGTCCATTTAAAAAATGAAGTACAGAACTATACTGTGAATTCTAAAGTTCTCAAAAATGCATCCACTTTGGGCAAAACAAACCTCAAAACTCCCAATCCTATATATTTTTGTCCCATAATTTCTGGTTCTGGGTTTGGCATGATAATCAAGTCATATTTTCCTAAGAAAATAGGTCATTTCCATATAGAGAAACTGTGTATTATTTTATTTTTTAAAAAGTTAATTGAGTCTTATGTTTTTGAGGCTTGATCGATTTTTTACCATGCTGCATGAGGATGTTTGACAAATATCTTTTTTTTAAGTGTATTTATTTATTTATTTAGAGAGAACATGAGTAGGGGAGGGGCAAAGGGAGGGAGAGAATCCCTTGATTCACAAACCGTAACATCATGACCTGAGCAGAAATCAAGGGTCAGATATTTAACCGATTGAGCCACCTCAGTGCCCCTAACAAATTTCTAATTTTTTAAAATAGTCTCCAGTAGTAGGTGAAGTATTTGACATGGTGCAGTATAGTACATTTGACACAGTACAGTATAAATTTCCAGTTCTGAAGAAATGAATACTTCCTGGAAGAGCTGACCTAATTTATTCCCAGTTAATGAGATGAGGAGAATAATGGCGATTGTCTGGACTCTTTTCTTCACCCTCCTCAATCAGTAGGCAGTTCATAAAGTGGGCCTGCTTGCATGGCAAGGCGTTCTGCTAGAGTCAAACCTTACTTCTAACCTTAATGCTTTCTCTTGCCTTGAGTAAAACACTTAACTAACTGCTTTTTTTTTTCAGTTCTCTTGCTGTGAGAAGAAGATATGATAATAATCTTCTTCTTTCCTACAGTGGTGTTAGGAGCAATATTTAGTTAAAGCTTGAAAAGTATGTTGACAGTAATAAGATAACATTTCATAGCAGATTATTCATGCTCTTATGGCTAAACACCCACTGAAATATCTCAATAGAACATACCCCAAATAATTTTCGTGTGTGAGCAAAGGATTCTGGCAATTACATTGTCCTTTTTTTTTTTCTGCAGAAATGTTAACCTCTCAGCAGTAAAAGAAAAGGGAAGAAATAATTGATTTAACACATTGGTTTTTGTAAATATGCCATGAGAGGTAGCTCTTTTTCCTCATTCAGATCCTCAGTGCTGCAAAGCCTCGGTTTCAACTGGCATGAGTATTAAGTAAGTGACAAAATACTTTTATATTTCTTAGCAGTAGAGTTTATGAGTTGGTGTCTATCCAACTATAAATAGATATGATATTTTGATGTCATTATATCACTTTAACTTTGGGACTGTAATCTTCATTGAAACCGGATTTTTCCATGAGGCTCCATTTCTCAGAGGCTTCATTCCTTTTTTTCATCTCCATCCTGTGATGCCAGTACAAACAGGGAGTCCCCTTGACCTCAAAGGGGACTTTGTGCTTAGATTCACTACTTTGGACAAGAAACAAACTTTTAAGAAAGGGGACATGAAGTTCTAAATTCCACCTGATTCAGTTGGCCTCGTGTCTACAGATAGGTCTCTGAAATGCTATGGTTTTTTTCTTAGTTATTGCATTTATGTTATAAAGGCAAAAACCCAAAATGGATGTCACATCACATACACCATGCACAATGCTGCATGCCAGTGTAAAACTCAGTTTTCGTTGCCATGGTGCCGTGTATATACCAGGCTTGATTGTCACATACATTTCAGAAACCTGTCCAATCTTACATGTTTGCTTTTTGAAATTTCGATGAAAATACCCTTAGAGCTGTATCAAGTGCAATCAAAATAAAACAAAATAAATTGCAAACCTACCACGAATTCAAGAATTATGTGGACACCATCTAAGTTACTTTAACGTAAGATATAAATCCAGAGATTTCTCATGCCATCATTTTGTAAATAATTACAGTTCTGCTGAATCTGTTGTATAAAGTTTACATGGGAGGTTCAGCGCACCCTTGCTCTTGTTTAGAACATTCGGAACCACCAGAGAGCTGTTGATATATGGCTGTGCTGTTTCAGTGCCTAAGACATCTACTACATGGGAGCATAATAAACAGGGGCATAAAGACAGGTTTGTGCAAGCAGTTTGGAGTGACCTTTTTGGCAGCTGAAATCCATCTTGAGTACATGGTGCTGATGTGGACAGACATGTAAACTTAGTCTTGTTACCACAACTACTAGTTCTACAAATATACTCAGATGCCCAAAATGTACATCACTCTTAGGAAAGTGATTTTAAATGGAGAGTTGTAGTTGAGGAACGGCAATTCAGATAAGATCAAAAACCATATATTACTAAGAAATCTCTATGATGGAGTTAACAAAAGTGTTGAAAGCATGAGTTAGGTAGGTTTAACCCTAAAGGCTATAAAGTGAGATATTTGTGGTAGCTTGTTTAGATGAAAAGGTATAATGTCTTTGTTTTTATAAAGCAATTGAAATGTATTAGTATCGTGCTTTTCAAAGCTAAACTTAGCATAAGGAAGGCAAAGTCAAGGTATCTAAAAGACTATGTTTAAATATAAGGGTAGATGTACTTACCTAATAACTGGAGAAATAAAACAGACATTTGTGTGTTGAATTTGGTCAACTGGGCGGAACATTACACTTTAATCCAACTTTGAAATATCTCTTAACCAATGAGGTCAGCTTGGCCTTGAATTCCAATGCTCCTCTCCTGGCTTGCCTGATCTTTCTAAGGCAGCAATGAGGGGAAGCCTTCTGATTGAGCACTTCTGACTTTGGACCCATTTTCCTCTAGCTGTAGACACACCAATGACATCTGTTTTAGTCTCCCAATGTGGTGGATGCTCCAGAGCACTTAGATTTCCTCACAAGATTTTCCTTGATTCAGAAAAGCCTCTTGATGAATTCATACCCTGTTCCCCCTTTCTCTCTCTCCACTTACGAGCTAACTCCTTGCAGAATTCAAAACCTCTGGTCTGATTCTCCATGTTCTATGTGTATTTCACCAGGCCTCCTTAAAGGAGGGACCAGGCCTCCATGGGGGGTGGCCTCTGGTAGTGTTGTGTCTGTGCCCTTCTGGATTGATCAATTTAATTCTGAGGTTCAGTATTTAAAACTATTCTTCAACCTAAGCCTTATCATTAAAAGCAAAAAAAAGTGGCATTTGAATCTGCATCTGCCTTTCGCCCTTGTTTTCCCTCTTCGTTGAGAAACCTGGTGAAGAAAAAGATGTTCTAGGAGGAAAGATTATTTGTTTCTGGGCCTCCTCAAGCCAAACAAAGAGAACTGAAATATTACTGAGGCAAACACATTGACTGGAAACTTGAAATAAATTCGAAAGCAGTTAATATCTATAAATATGTGAGAACCCATTCCTACAATCCTCCCATAGGTATTTACAATTCTTTCAGTAAATGAGGTATGGTTATATCTTACTGGGAAAACCATTCTTGAACCTGCTGTAAAAGAAATGGAATGAACTGGCAAAGCAAGTAAGAGTCTTGTGGATAGTGGTCCTTCAGCAAAATCCTTATATAGTTATCTCTACAACTACTCTTGTTAGATCTACGAATTGAATAAAAGTTATGTTCAAAGCATGTGAGAAATGGCTAGTTTTTTTCATGCTTTAATAGATATAGGTTCAAAGGGAATGAATCAGTTTAACCATTCAAAATAAGTGAATCTTTGAAATAAGTTTGGCATTTTGATACTCTCTTCCTAATTATTATTCCTTTTATATCTATTGCTAAGGTTATTTTTCTGGTTACAATGTCTTAAAGAAACGTAGAGGTGAAATTAAAGCAAATGTTAGACACTTGAGAATAGCATTCATAAATAAATAAACAAGCAAATAAGCAAATAAGCAAGTAAATGTACGTATGTATTTGTATATCTGTATACATGTATATATATCATACATATCCAGCCATTGATCAGGAAACCCCAATCTTTTAAGATTTCAAATGGTTTTAACTTATTAACAGCCTTGTAGTCACCTATGATGCTTGTCAGGTACCAAAGAAAGATCGTAATGGCATAAACCCAGTTCTGCCTTTTGAGGAATTTATATCTTCAGGCAGGGCCAAAAACCTTTAAGGGAAAATAGTGCTCTGAAACATGCCAATAGTAAAAAAAAAAAAAAAAAAAAAAACAACTGGACACCGTGTTGGTTAAGAATCACCATAGGCCCTGGGGCTTCTGGGTGGCTCAGTCAGTTGAGCGCCCAACTCTTAATTCTGGCTCAGGTCATGATCTTGCTGTTTGTGAGATCCAGCCCCACATCAGGCTCTGTTCTGACAGTGAGGAGCCTGTCTGAGATTCTCTCTCTCTTCCTCTCTCTGCCCCTCCAGCACGTGCTCTCTTTCTCTCTCTCAGAAATAAATAAATAAACTTAAAAACAACAAAAAAAATTACCATAGGCCCTTGGTAATTAAGGGAGCCTAATCTATGCGGGAGTTTATTTGTGTCTCATATAAAATCTGAGGGTAGGCAGCCTATGGATAGTTCAGAGATTCCACAAAAATCATCAGCATTCCAGGCTCCTTCTGTGTTTCCATTGTATCTTCCTCAGTGCCTATCCTCAAGGTCACCTCGAATTTGTAAGATGGCCCCCATAGTTCCAGACATCACATCTGCATTCTGGGTAAGAAAGATAAGGAAAGAGCAAAAGGCCTGCTCGAATTATCAAAGAACTTTTCTGGAAGCTCTACTCAGCAACTTCCTCTTATATGCCATTGTCTTCCCCTCTGAGGGAAGCTGGAAAATGAACATTTGTATGTGGTTACAGTGCTTTAATTGAGGTAGAATGGATTAGGTCTATCCAGTATAGTGTTTTCTGCCCCTGAATCTTGAAACGGTTTCAAGTTATATGAAGTGAAAGAAAAAAAGTTCATCGATAACAGGAAAACACAAATTTCAGAATCTTAAAGTTTCTCACCATCAAGGCAAAAGAAATATCCCAAAGACCTGCGAGGTGGTGTGAACTTCGGAAGCACATGTGGTAGAATGCAAAGAGCAGAGTGGTTAAGACTTCAGTCAAACCTCTGTGTTTAGTATCAAAGAGCAGGGATGGTCATAAGCAATAATGGAGATGGGGACACTCTCAGTTTAACCAAAAAAGGAAGTGTTCCTTCTAATAAAACTCAAGAGATTTCTCAATATATATGGTAATTCTGCAGATAAAACCTTCCAGGAGGTAAAGAAATGACCATCTACCAGGTTTTAAATGTGTTTTAAGAGAATAGTCTCCTAAAGCAGATATGTAAAAAAGCATAAAGGTCTTGAACCTTAAGACATACATATGTGCCAAGGCATTTTATTGTAAGTGATAATAATAACAATATAATAGCAAAGACTTCTACGGCATGTACTGTGTGCTTGGCTCTAAAATCCTTGCATACTTTAAGTCATTTGTGGAGGATTTACTGAAATGTCTGCAGGAGCTTTTCCACAATACATGAGGATGAGACAAAGACTTGATTTCTGATTGGCACACTCTTGATTCCTACTGGTGACATTCTGATCTGAGACTTGCTGTACAATTTTCGTAAGCACAAGGCAGATTTGACCTTAAGGCCATATTGATAAATCTTGGTTGACAGAGAAGTGCAGAGAATGCCAGCACTGGTTTCAATGTTCATGAAGCTTTTGTTTCCAAAGACCTTGGCAAACCTTAAAAAAGCTTGGCTTCCCAACTGGTGTTCATGAAGATCTCCAAGCTACTTAATGAAGGTTTGTTCAGGGGTGTCACCATTGACATCATCACGGCCAACCCATTCCTCATTATCGATGGACTAAAACAGAGAACTGTGTAATAGGTCAGTTTTTATTAGATCCATATTCCACAGCCATAGTTCAAAGACTCAACAAAGGAAGTTAGACTTAGTCAATGTAAGATTTTCATTGGCAACATGGCTAAAAATCATCACTGAATTTTCTTTCCTTGGCAGCACTGTATCTAACAGTGTGCTGATTGACCAAGATGCATAAAATTAAATCCATAAGGCCAGGATGTCTTTCAGGAGACTGGTGAACAGAATGAGACACCATTCTATCAAGCATCACTCTTAAAAACCAAAGCTTTTCCAAAGCAGTATTTGGGCCAATCTCTTTTGCTGCTCCAAGACTTGGACCTGCTACAGGAATTGATTCAGGCTCTTCAGTAATTCATCAAAATCACTTATGCCATTAGTTAATATTAACTAGCAGGAGTGAATTAA